TAGGAGGTTCCACCAAAATATTAGAAAAACTTTTTCACTTTGAGGATGACAGAGCACTGGAACAGCCTACCGAAGGACATTGTAGAATCTCCTTCTTTGGAGACGTTCAAAACCCACCTGGACGCGTACCTGTGCGATCTACTGTAGGTGATCCTGCTCTGGCAGGGGGGCTGGACTAGATGATCTTTTGAGGTCCCTTCCAACCCCTGACATTCTTTGATTCTGTGATTCTGTGCTACGAGGACAGGCTGCGGGAGCTGGGATTGTTCAGTCTTGAAAAGAGAAGACTTCTGGGGGACCTAATAGCTGCCTTCCAGTACCTGAAGGGAACCTGCAGGAAGGCTGGGGAGGGACTTTTTACAAGAGTGCCCACTGATAGGACAAGGGGAAATGGGCTTAAGTTGAAGAATATAGATTTAGATTAGATTTTAGGAAGAAATTCTTCAGTACGAGGGTGGCAAGACTTTGGAATAAATTGCCCAGAGACGTTGTGGCTGCCCCCTCCCTGGAGGTGTTCAAGGCCAAGTTGGACAGAGCCTTGAGTAGCCTGATCTAGTTGAGAGGCGTCCCTGCCCATGACAGGGAGGTTGGACTAGATGATCCTACTAGATGGGCCTTCCTACCCTCTAGCAGATCGACACTCCCCTCAGCTTGGTGAATACGAAATTGTGCACAGGTGTTCAGCAGCTGCCGTGTGCTTGCTGGTGTTGCAGTACGAGTGCTCTGCCTGGAGCTACTGCATCCTTTGGGGTTTCACATCCTCTTTTCTTACCTGTTAGTAATGCATAATGCTATTTTTGTAGCAACCGCAGGGAAGGCTGCACTGCTAGGGAGTGAAGTGAGCAGTGCGCTGAAAAGTGGGACGGGGAGAAAGGAGAAGGCAAAGGTGGTAACAATGCAATCAGCTTGTTAGCCGGGTTAGCTGCAGGCTGCACAGGAACCCCTGTGGACTGCTCTGACTCCTGCTTATAGAGACAAAGGGAGCAATGTCATTTCACTGCCTGTAAATCTTTGCATTTCACGTAATTCCTAAGAGATAAGGAAACTAGGGATGCTTCTGAACTTTGGTATTTGTGCCTTGTTGAAAAAGTGGCACTTGTCAAGTACAGGTTTTCACACTTGAGTCTCTGTGGTGCCAACAGTACAAAAACATACTCTGCACTGACACGTGCCTTCATTATTTCTTTTTAAGCCACGGAGCAAGCCCTGTGGTGCATGCTTGTCACCAGATGCATTCAGCATGCCCGCGATTGCTAACCTTCTGTGCTGAGCAACGTGCCAGTTTTGTGTTACTCTGCATGGTGCTTTCTTTGGGACGTTGGCAGGGAAGGGCTATGGTGACAGCCCCTCTGGGTGGGGATGGTTGGTACACAGGTGATGTTGGGCTGGGGGCAAAATCCTGAGATAAGGGTTCCTGGAAAGGCAGTGAGGGTGGCAGGCCGTAAGAATTCAATTATTTCTTGGGAACAGAGGAGGAGGATTCCTAAAGCACATCAGGCCGTCTCTTTCTTTGGTTCAAAACCACGCGTCGGAGTTCTGCATCAAAGATGTCTTGGTCAGTCAGAGCGAAAGCCAATGTTTCAGGCAGAGCAGCGTGGGGAGGAGCTGGCAGAGCTCCTCCAGTTACGAAAAGCCTTTTGGAGTGGTGTTGCTCTAAGGCAGTAAAGGAGTTTCTGTAATAGGAAAAGGCTTGTACTTTGAGAACCCCAGAGCCACTCATGTACGGGTTTTACTTGCTTTTCCCTTTATTAACTACGATAGCTGTAATGCGGAGGCCTAATCCTGCAAACGCAGTAAGTACTTCACTCCCTACAAGCTTCCCTGAGATTACTGTTAGTTGGACAAAGCAAACAGGTTTGCAGAAAAAGGAGCAAGTCCTCACCATGGGCTGGCTGCTGCGCTCAAAGGGAAGGCCTTCTGGCTGCGGTACTGTCTCTTGGATTTACCGTTGAGTCAACAAGGACTTTTTTTGGGAGATCCATATGTTTCTCTTAAGCGTAAAACTTGACCTGTGTCTATTAGGAAAAATGCTGTAAGCTGCTTCTCTCAATGTCTTTCCAGGAAATGACCCACTCCTGGCCACCTCCCTTGACAGCGATCCATACGCCTAGTAGTACAGCCGAGCCTTCCAAATTTCCGTTCCCGACAAAGGTAAAGCACCCTCTGTGGCCAAGGCTTTTGACAAATTAGAAGAGGGTTTTGCGGCTCTTTCATGTATTTTCATAAGGTTGTGTCCCCCTTTCATGGATAAAGGCTGTTAAGAGAGATTATCTGTAGAAGTCAGATAAATTATCTTGAGTTGCACAACGGCTGCTTGTAACTCATTGTTTTTACTGAGAATTGGATCAAATATTGCTTCTGAGTGATTGTTTTCGAGTGGGCTCTAGAGTAGCATAGTTATCTTTCCTCTTTTTTTTTTTGTTTTAAGCAAGCTTTGGATTTTTAGATTGTAAGATGCTCGAGCCAGGTGGGGAGAATGAATGAATAAAGTTTCCATTACTTTCACATTTATCATTGTGGGTTTCAAATGTGGCTGCTTTTCAGGAGCATTTGAAGCATCTGACACCTGTTGCAGCACAAGAGACATGTTTAGTGTCAACAACAGTGTTTGCCAACTGTGTTTAACAGGCGTATTTGGCAGCTCTTATTTTTTTTACTGTTTCTTCAAAAATGCACATACGGCTAATATGCTAGGAACACATTTTTGGTGGCAGTAGCATGTGTCCTTTCTGTCCATGCTGAGCTGTGTCAGGCCAGCTTAGACTGCTGGACCCTTCAAAGTCATACACTGACAAGTTAGTCAACATCTTTCTTGCAAGAAGTAAACTGGAAATCAAATCATCGATACGCTGCTATTACGAGAGACGTGATTTCTTTTATTCTCATTTTGCACTTTATCCTTTCTTTCTAGGATTCGCAGTTTGTTGAATCCGTAGCACAGACTCACAGTAAGTAGAAATCCAAAGACGACACGCTTAGATGTGTATTGACAGATAGTTTTTTGTGTTAAACGTTGAGAACATCAAATGTTCCCATTGATTAGGGAGCACTATTTCCTGAGCTTTGTTGAACAATGCTGAAACTAAAAAATGCTTTAGAAATTGTATACATTCATCACCTAGAACTTAAGGCAGCAGTTCAGCAGAGAACAAAGAGTTTTTCGTTAGCTGACTGCATCTGGAGTGATGAATGATCTCAATGGCAAACAATGACGTCCTGGAAGGAAGCAACTTCCTAAGCTGATGCTCAGAGACCATAGGGTACAATATGTTATACGTGAAGCGCATAAAACCAACCAATTCATTTTTGATTTACAGAACAGTATGACGCACCTTCAAAAACGTTGCCTAGTTCTCAACCAGGAACATCGTAAGTAACCAGAGTCAGCTCCCATCTCTACGGTGCATTTACTTTAAAGAACCTTAAATTGACTAAAATTTGGTTTAGCGGGCGATTCCAAAGATTAAGGCGTTATCAGTCTGATTTTTCTCAGAAAATTTCAGTGCTGGGAGTTTTCACCAGCAGAAACATTACTGTTTTGTGGTTGTAATGACTGTGTTAAAAAAATCCCACACCAAAACTGAATTAAAAATCCCCAAACCTTCACCCCTAGGTTTTGGATTGTTTTGTGGTTTGGTTTTTTTTTTTTAACTCTTTGTGTCTGTGGCTAATTAACCTCTTGTCACACTTAAGGATGGTCACACTACTAATGCGTTCAGCTGACATAAAATATAAAGAATACAAACTGAATCTGGTCTATTCTGCATATCAATTTGAAGCCTGTGAGGGCTAATAAAGCTACAGCTACAAAACCCCAAACCTAGGGCTGAAATTTTAAAGCAGTCCTATGGTACAACTTTCTGCACTTGCCCAGGGAAAAGTTTTCTAAACCGTGTTTTCCTAATTTTAATTTAAAACAAACAAAAACCACACTTATGTGGACTTTCTAAAAACCTTCATTTGCACACTACTAATATTAACTAGTTTATGTATTTATTTTTCCCTGTCATGTTGTGTGTTCTTTCAGAAGAAAGCTTCTTAGAATTTGAGTCTCAGTGTACCGTGTTTATGTGCAATCGCTACAAAAATTTTACAAGTCTAGGAAGGAGCGCCAGCTAATAAATTAGTTGCTCCAGTAGAAAATTTTAAGTTGGTGGATAAAATAACTTGGTACTGTCCTTTACAAGGCTGTAAAGTCCTTGTGCAAGGCGATTGCAGGACAATTAAATGCCCGTCAGTTCACGTGATACACAGACTTCACATTACTTTGTGGTCCGTTGTTCCATGGAAGGCTGCAAACTGCAGACTACAAAGCTTACTCCAGTTGTTTTTCTTTTCTTTATCATGAACAATTTAATGTCAAAAAAAACCCAACCAACCAACCCACAACAAACTGAGCTAGTCACAAGTTAAGTGGAAGAGCATCTCTCCATCTTGGTTGAGATTGTAGAATTATGCACTCGAGCTCTGTATGATCTGTAAAACAACACTTTTCATACTGTTCCAGCATCATGCAGAGGAGCCCTTGCAGGCTGGCAGTGTGGGATAGTGTCTTGCTGAGCAGTCCACTACTCCCTTAGTCCACTTTTTCTTTTGCTTCTCCTTCTTCCACCCCAGCTTGCTTGTTCTAAACTGTTTTTGGAAATTTTCATTACACTATTAAAAATACTGATTTCAGCTGCTCCAGGCTCTGCTTTCCTCCTCGGCTACCCTACAATTGTCATTTCTCTTTCAGCTTTTCTCGGCTGCTTGTGAAAATCCCCATAGCCCTTTGGTCTGTTTTGCAGGCAGCAAGGAGGGAAGAGAGGACTCTGAAAAGATTCCTTTCCTTAGCCCAGAGGTCCAGAACTGTAAATTTGGCCTGGTCCATAGCTCTGTCCTTAGACAGCATCCCCTCTCTGCTCCACGTCCCTGCCGGCACCTGAGAGCCAGCATTCCTCTGCCAGGGCCATGCATGCGCTGAGGCTGTGGAAGCAGGAGGAACAGGTGGCTGAGGTTTTTTTAGAGCGTCAGGCAAGATTTGCCCAAGGACTTCCTCTACATCTTTCCCTCAAACTGTTCCCTTCCTTTGGGTTTGGGTTTTGGCTTCATTTGCACCACAGGGATTGCTTGCTTTGCTGTTCAAAGCACACCTGACTGTCCGAAAATTCAGCTGCCTGGAGAAGCTGGCGTTACAAAGTGTAGCTGCCTGAGAACAAAGCTGGTGTTTGTGCTGGTTAATTGGAAGTTGCAATCCCAATGCGTCTGTGTACCCAAATTAAGCATTCAGCTTTACAGAGCATGCAAGGGTTTCCCAGATGGATTTCATTCTTGAATACAGCTCCAAAGATAGCAACTGCCTGCGCTGGAATGGAAATAGCCCTTCTTTTAAAAGGGGAGATGCCAAGCTCGGTTTTGGTGATGCATCTTTAACCTAGCTGGCAGAGAGGGACCAGCTTGTGCTGTCAGTGGGCTTGTCTGGCAAGCGATACTAATTTTACTGCTGCTTCTCTGAACTATTTTAAAATAGCTTTACAGGGAGATTGATGGTGTGAATATAAGCTGCAGATGAACAAGTCCTGCAAACAAAAACCTGGCATTTATTAACTCCTGAGCCAACTAAAGCATTAAAATTATTAAAGCAGATTTATTTTCTTTAACTAGGTATTTAAAAATTTGTTGGATTCTTGTTTTGGGGAAATTGGCTTTGTCCTTGCAGAAGTATGACTCATTTAAAGTTTTAGACTTCTTTCATCCTAAATTGAATTTAAATAGTTGCAATGTTCTTTTATGCTGATACATTTTATTTACCAGCATCTCAGGTGAAAAAGGCAGTCCTTTTTATTGTGTAACCTTATATCAGATTTGAAAGAAGATCTAGGTAGTGTTTCCTTGCAGTATCCTTTTTACCTTGAAAGGAAATACAATTCTTTAAGCAAAACAAAACAGAAGAAAACACTTTCAGGTGGCAGTAGACATTTGGCCAAACTGCCCAGAGCTGTGGAGAGTGGCTGTATTGTTGCTGTTGTTCATTTTTTTGCTTTTTTTGTGTCTCAGCGGTGAGCTTTGGCTCTAGCTCACATGCAAAGTTGGCGTGTGTGGGATTGCTGCAGACTGTGCACCGTTTGCCTTCTGTTGGAAATTCAGGGGCCTCATTTTCCAGGGTGGTGTTTCCTAGTGCTTCTCTGGAGTGTTTACTCTAAAAGAAGAGGGAAGGGGTAATTTCCACTGAGAAGGTGTGTAAGGAAATGAGGCAGTGGAGGCTGGGAGGTTCAGAAGGGTAGTCCCAGGGGCACGGCAAAGTCAAAATGCCTGAACAAAGAGAGCACGGAGGTCTTCATGGGTGTAATCAGAGTCCTTGTGCACTGAGAAACTTCTTCCGCATCAGCGAGTGGTGCTTGGGGCCTTGTGAGGTCAGTACCTTTGCAGGAGGTGTCACCTGTGCAAGGAGGGTTTGGCTCTGTACTGGTCGACACAGGAGAACTTTGGGGTGTCTTCACATCGTTCTGCTCCATGGACAAGAGCAAATTTGTCACTTCTGGTTTGTGGACTTGCTGCTCATTGTGAAACCATGGCCAGCCTTGGCAGAAAACATGGACCTATTTCAATGAAAGTCTCTCAGGGCATGTCAGCTGCTTTAGTATGAGTGTAACATCATAGAATCATAGAATGGCCTAGGCTGGAAGGGACCTTAGAGATCACCTAGTACAACCTCCCTGTCATGGGCAGGGATGCCACCTCTCGATTAGACCAGGCAACACGTGGGAATCGAACCCTCGACCTCGGTGTTGTCATTGTTGTCAGCACCACACTCAAACCACTGAGCTAAAACTTGTCTAGTTAGTGAGGAGTAGTGCTTAAATAAGGGAATTAGTTTATTACTCAAGGTTTCTGCTCCTCTGGTCACAGAATCATAAAAGCAAACTGCTCAGGGTCATTAGAGGTGACCCACAGAGCTGTGAATCTTCTTCACTTTGTTCACAATTTGACATGAAGGCTTGGAAGAGTATGAAGATTTGTGTTGTTCTCCTTTTCCTAACAAGCATCAGGAACACTATCACTCCCCCCACTTTTCCAAGGTGATGTGGTTCACGGGGATTTCATATTTCTTTTCTTGCTCTCAAATGTGTTGTCATGAGGGGTTGGAGGCTCATTTTGATTATTTGAGCATGAGAAACATTTCCCACAGAAAGCCTTTAGTTTGAAACAAAATTAAAAGAAGCAGGGTTTGGACCTGCTTGATGAAAATCCCTATTGATTTCCAGGCCATTTATCCCATTTTTAGAATGAGACTTGTGTAATTCTCTGGACTGAGTGAGGACTTGATCTTCAGCTAGTTTCAAGGTCTGAACCACTTTACTTTGGAATAGCAAGAGTTTCACCAGTCTGATTTTCTACTCCTTTGGGGATGCCTGGTATGATGACGAAAGAGGGGGATAACAGTTTGGGAGAACTTTGGACCCCTCCACACAAATCCTTCTCTTCCAGCCTTTTGAGGGCCTCAGTAATGCATTGAAATTGCAAGCAGTGGTTACCAGCTGCAGGCAGAGGACTAAATTGTGCTTTTGGAAGCATTTGCAGGCAGCCTGCTCGCTGCTGTGGCAATCGTAAAATAGAGGTTGTGCTTCCCCACTTGTCAACTGCTTTGAGCGTCTGAACTGCTCAACGTTACCGTTACCACTGAGATGTGCGGGAGCATGAGGTTCGTTGTAGAGAGAAGAAATGAGATCAGCTTGACCTAGGCATTTACTTAAGTATGTGTGATAGAAGAAGAATAGTAGATAGAAGAAAGAGAACCCCTGTGACCCCTGTGAAGAAATATTCTGCCCCTGAGAGCAGAGAGTGTGAACACACACCGCTGCTGGTGCAGAGGTGATGCTTTCTGCCATTTGGCGAGCCAGTGCAGGCCAGTAGCACTCTTGCTATACGGGGATCAGACTTCTTGCAGCCCACCCTGCTGTGTTAGTGTGCTAGGCAGGAGCTTTGCCCCCACAGAACTTTGTCATCCGTAGATGGCAGCCCCAGTGATGCTGACCTGGTCCTGAGATTCAGTTGGAAAGCAGAGTAAAATGTCGAGGTTGTGCGTAATGACGAGGTTGAGCAGACTGAGCATGCCGAATGTTCAAACAGGGTGTGGGAGGTTGCATTTTTTAGCAAGCGCAAACCAAGGCTTTTTCGGTGGCTGGTGCTTGAAAATTTGTCTGTCTTGGCTGATATTTATCTTCTGATTGTTTTTCAGAATGCTCCACGACGACCTGCAGCTCAGTGATAGTGAAGAGAGCAGTGACGAACAAGTCAGTTTTAGATGTTTTATACACTAGGCACACAGAGTCCCCTTTAAATCATCAAACTTGTTGCATTATTCTGAGTTCCTTAAACTGACCTTTCCTTCCCCTCTCCTCTTTCTTTTTTTGAACAAAACAGGTTGTTGAAAAGTCACCTTCTTCACTTGCTCCTCCAAGGTACAGGTTTGTTCCCAAACTACTAACTAGACCAAAGAAGGAGGAAAATTAAGACTCCTTTTTACATCAGGGGGTGGGTGGCTAAGGGTTCATGTTTTCTCTTGAAGATCCGGCCTTTGGTTTCTAGCAGACTGAAGCTGCTGTTAAAAACTGGCTTTAGTTTTGTGGGGTTTTTCAGAAAGCTACAGTCAGAAACGAATACTCCAGATGTACGGGATAGTGCCTACGAACCAGAATTTTATTTGCCCAACGGTTCCCTTCTTTTCTCCTCTTCCTCCCCCCCACCCCCACCAGTGTCTATGTAGATCGTGCCGGAGCTAGTGGGATTTTCAATTGTAGCAATGGTGGCTGAGGTGGGAGTCCAGGTTCA